GTCCTCTGCAAAAGCAGTCAGTGTTCTTAACCTCTAAGCCATCTCTGCAGCCCCCCCTTTGTTTTGTTTCTTGAGACAGGGTCTTGCTATATAGCACTGGCTGGCCTGGAACTTACTATGTAGACCAGGGTGGTCTATACGGTCAAACTCAAGAGATCTGCCTACCTCTGCCTCCCAAGTGCTGGGATTAAAGGCATGTGCCATCATATCATTCTAAAATAGTTATTCTTTTTTAAATATTGTATTTATTATTTTTATTTTATGTGTATTAGTGTATTGTCTGCATGTATGTAAGTGCACCCATGCTGTGCAATGCCTGCTGAGGTCAGAAGAAGATGTTAGATCCCCTGGAACTGGAGTTATAGATGGTTGTTAGCTGCCATGTGAGTGCTAGGAATTGAACCCAGGTCCTCAGCAAGAGCAGCTAGTGCTCTTAACCTCTCAGCCATCTCTCCAGTCCCCTAAAACAATTATTCTTAGCTAAGTTTCTCTAAGACCTGTTCCGCCTTTCTCAGAATGACCAAGTATACATCACTGCAATGGGGCAAAGGGTAAAACTCAAGGGAATACATTTTTCTTAAACATGTTTCAGAGTTGTTCCAGGAGTTGGGGTGCAGCTTAACAGAATAGCTGCTTAGGATTCATGAAGCCCCAGATTCAAACCCCAGAACTACATAAACTGAAAGTAGTGTTGAACAGCTGCCGTATCAGTGCTTGGGAAGTGAAGGAAGGAGGTTCAGGAGTTCAAGGTGGTCCTTAGGTATATATTAATAACAAGTTCAAAGCCAATCTGGGGTACCTGAAACCCTGTCTCAAAAACACAGCAAGGGCCCTCCAGTTCAGGTGGGATGGCTGAGCAGGTAAAGACACTTGCCACCAAGCCTGATGACTGGAATTCAGTCCCTGAGACCAATATGGTAAAAGGAAACTGATTCCCAAAAGTTGTTTTCTGATCTCCATACACATGTACATGCACAAATCATTACATGCATATATGCCTACATAGATGTAATTTTAAAAATTAAAACAAAACTCTGGGGCTGGAGAAACGGCTCAGTAGTTAAGTGTACTTGCTGCTCTTGTTGATGACCTGGATTTGGTTCCCAGCACCGACATGGCAGCTAACAACTGTTCGTAATTCCAGTTCCAGGGGATCTGATGCCCTTGCCTGGTCTCCAAGGGCACTGTGTGCACTTGGTGCACAGACATACATGTAGGCAAAACACTCATACACATAAAGTAAAAATAAATAAATCTTTTTTTTAAAAAGTTAAATAATTTGGGGCTCAGGAGATGTCTCAGCAGTTAAGTGCACTGGCGGCTCTTGCAGAGGACCCAGTTTCAATTCCCAGTACCCACATGGCAGCTAACAACCATCTGTAACTCCAGTTCCAGGGGAACCCAATGCCCTCTTCTGATTGCCTAGGCATTATACAACATGGTGCAGTTACACAGCAAGGCCAGCTGGGGCTACAGGGAGACCCTATCTCAAAAAAAAAAAGAAAGAAAGAAAGAAAGAAAGAAAGAAAGAAAGACCAATCCCACCTGGACTACAAAGTGAGAGCTTGTCTTGGAAGAAAGGGAGAAAAGAAGGAAAGAAAGAAAGAAAGAAAGTAAGAAAGAAAAGAGTCAGTAAGATGGCTCAGTGGATAAAGGTGCTTACCACGAAGCCCTGACAACCTTAGTTGATCCCTGGAGCTCAGAGGGTGGAAGGAGAGAACCAACTCCCAAAAGTTATCCTCTTATTCCACACATGTGCCCTGGTACTCAAGCCTTCCCAAACACAAATAAATAAATGTGATTTGTCTTTTTGGGGGTTTTTTTTGTGTGTGTGTGTGTGTGTGTGTGTGTGTGTGTGTGTGGTTTTTGCTTTTGTTGTTTTTGAGACAAAGTCTCCCTGTGGCCCCAGCTGGCCTGGAACACACTATGTAGACCAGGCTGGCCTCGAACTCACAGAGATCCACCTGCCTCTGCCTCCCCAGTGCTGGAATTTTTTTAAAAAATGTTATGTAAGTGTATTGCCTGCATGTATGTAAGTACACCTGTGTCATGCAATGTGCAATGCCCACAGAAGTCTGAAGAGGATGTTGAATTCCCCTGCAATTGGAGTTATTAGCCACCATGTGGGTGCTGGGAAGCAAACCCAGGTTCTCTGTAAGAGCAGCCTGTGCTCTTAACCACTGAGCCAGCTCTCTGGCCCCTAAGTGTAATTTTTTACAAAGAAGAAAACAACTAGGACAGCCAAATTTTAGGCTAAATGACCAAAAGTTAGAGTTTATGTCTTTTCTATTTTCTTAACCTATCAAGACAAGGGGTTTAGGACACCCTCCATGAAAGTTGCACCCTTTCATTGAAGGAAACAGCAGAAACAAGATATCACTTTCATAAACTCTCCTGAAATAGACCATTAAAGGTTTGCTGACCTTCCTGTAAAGAAAGCCTCTAGTGGCACATGCTTTTAATCCCAGAACTTGGGAAGCAAAGGCAGATGGATCTCTGTGAGTTTGAGGCCAATGTGGTCTACATAGCAAGATCCTGTCTCAAAAACAATAAACCCATGAACCTGGTGTGGTGGTGCACATGACTTTAATCCCAGCACTTGGATGGCAGAGGTAGAGGCAGGTGGATCTCTATGAGTTGGAGGCCAGCCTGGTCTACATAGCCAGTTTCAAGCCAGGCAGGGCTACATTGTAAGACCCTGCCTGTCTTAAAAAAAAAAAAAAAAATTAAAACTGAGAGACTGAAGAGATGGCTAAGCAGTTAAGAGCACTGACTACTTCTGCAGAGGACCTAGGTTCCAATCCCAGCACCCACATGGCAGCTAACAACTGTTCTAACTCCAGTTCCAGGGGATCTGACACCCTTTTCTGACCTCCTTGGGCATTACATGACACAGGTACACTTACATACATATAGGCAATATACATACACATAAAATTAAGATAATAAAAATATTTTTAAAAATTAAAACTGTAACACAAACAATTTTTTAAAGATTTATTTATTTTTATTTTATATGTATAAGTGTTTGGTGACCTCCTGGGAGCAGGGGACCATCAGATTGCCTAAGGAGGGGTGAACCGGCCCAGGTCGGAAACAGCAGATCAAAACTTCCAAACTCCGTGGCATTTGTTATAGGACCTCAGTTGTGAACCTAGGAATGGACAGGCTAAGAAATATCTTTTCTCTTACAAAGGTGTTCAATAAATACTAAATAAATACTAAATTGGGACTGGAGAGACACCTCAGTGGTTAGGAGCCACATGGCAGCTAACAACCATCCATAACTCCAGTTCCAGGAGATCCAATGCCCTCTTCTGACCTCCATGGGCATTGCACAACATGGGTGCATTTATATACATCAGGCAATGCACTCATACACATAAAATAAAAATAATAAATAAAATACATATTAAAAAACAAAAACAAAATCAGTGATTAATTAATGAGGAAAGAAACATGAGTGCATTGTAATCCAATTTATAAAATCAATTAAAGACCAGAAATTACATAGCAAATTTTCCTATATTACATATTCTCAAAATAATTTTTAATTTTATGGAAACATAATTGTATATACTTATGGTTTACAATGATACCATCTATGTACACATTATATATACACTATAGAAAAATTCATTTTGCTTCTGTAAACCTCAATTTCTTCATCTATAAAATATCAACAATGCCTAGCTCAAAGAACAGGAAAATCAAATTTTGTAAAGTAATACACAGAGTAGCCTCTACCCATATAAAAGGTCACAGGTTTATACCAGTTTCCTCTTCAATGGATGCTTTCCCTTCAGGAGAGAAAGGGAGACTTGTGAAACTTAGGAGGAAAAAAAGGTCACATGTCAAGGAGAGAACTTAGAAGATTCTTGAGAACCCCTCAGCTTTCTGGAAGGACCTAATAATTGCTGGGGGAGGAGAGTTCTCAGACTCCCTGTGCAACTGCCTGAGGCTGTGTGGATCTCCAAGATTGCAGCTTTCCTGAGCTGCCACCCATATGGAGATGGGCCTTTCAGTGATACAGCTACTTTTCAGTCATCCCTGATCCTTGTAAGTAACCCCTTATCCATGTTCCTATTCGTAGCCCCAATAAAAACTCATCAGTTCATCAAGTTGGACATTGATTACTTTGGTATGTCAGAGGTTTCCTTTCTGTGTGTGTGTGTGTGTGTGTGTGTGTGTGCTGCATCTTCCCAAGAAAGGTTTGTCAAACAACAGTAGCTGACCATGGTGTCATATACCTACAATCTCAGTACTCGAGAAGCAGAGGCAAGAGAGCTGATGTGAGTTCAAGGTCAGCCTGTGCTATACAATAAGACCTTGTCTCAAACAAACAAACAAACAAACAGAAAGTCTAGCATGCTATGCATGATGAGTTTATCAAAGCACAAATTAGGAGCTGGAGAGATGGCTCAGCAGTTAAGAGCATATTGCTCTTCCAGACACCTGAGTTTGATTCTCAGTAACCCCTCAGGTGGCCAGTAATCACCCATAATTTCAACTTCAGGGTAACTGACAACCTCGGGCCTCCAAGGGCTCCAGTCCTAATGTGCATATATACATACACACACACACATCGATTTAAAAAATAAAAAAATTTAAAAAGAAAAGAAGGCTGGGTGTGGTGGTGCATGCCTTTAATCCCAGCACTCAGGAGGCAGAAGCAGGCGGATCTCTGTGAGTTTAAAGCCAGCCTGGTCTACATAGTGAGCTCCAGGACAGCTGGGGCTACAGGGAGACCCTGTCTCAAAAAGACCAAAAAAAAAAAAAAAGAAAGAAAGAAAGCATAAAGCATAAATTAGCTAAGTTCACTAGGGCTCCGGGAAATATAAAAATGTAGGTATAGGTGTCATTAATTAAGATGGGCATTTGAAATTAATGGTCATTAATTAGGATTGACATTTCAGATTCAAGAGGTCACCAAGCCAAATAGGTAGTTTTAGTAGAGTACTCACCTACCCTAGGCACACTCCTATCCTGATCCTGACACTCTATCCACACCCACATTCATCAACTATCATGTCCTCATAATGGCGAAGGATGATGTTGTCGTTATTGTCCTGATACAGCATGGATATAGGAGACAGCTTGGTGGGGACGCACACAGCCTGGGGGACCGCAGGGTCCACTGTGTGCATCAGAGTCTGCAGGAAAGCATAATTGGAGCTGTTCAAGTACATGGTCAGTGAAGAAGGGCAGTCTCCATGACAGTAGTTTGCCATGAAACCCTTGGGAGCAATGATCCACTTATGCCAACCAAGGTCCCGGAAGTCGATGAACAGCTGGTGACGATGGCAGAGATTCTTACAAGAGGCCTGGGAGACAGAGATGGCTGCCCTCCTTCTTCGAGAAGGGTGGCACTGCTCAGGATTGAGGGTCACCACCAGCAGAGAGGCACGAAGGGAATGTCTCAGCCTGGCACAGGCATCCTCCAGCTGGAACTTTACCCCAGAGTATCTGCTGTCATCTTTGGCCAGAATCTCTAAGTAGAACCCTAAATTCTTCGGGCGGCTGCTGTTCCAGTCCTTTCCCACATCCTGCAGGTTGAAGTGAAGGGCACCTTGAGGCCAGGGGACAGAGTGCAATGCAAGCATTCTGCCTGGCTTGGGGTCAGATCCCTCCCACCCACCAGGCTCAACCACAGACAGAGTCACTATCAGTTCTGGTCCCAGGTTATAGTAGGAACTGGGCCCCAGCTCTAGACCCAGTTGAGCCATTGTTAACTGTTCCTTTACTTTGATATCAGACAAGTTAAAGTACAGGAACTTCTGCAGACAGGAGTCATCTTGGGAAGATTTCTGTGAGTTAAGAAAGAAACCTAGAAACAGAAAGAGACATGTTATTTGACTTCATATCCACCTGTAATATAAATATCAACATATGCATGGAATTCTGAGTTATATTTATTTTATTACTTTTATTTTATGTGTATGAGTGTACACTGCCTGCCTGTATGTAAGTGTACCTGTGTCATGCAATGCCCTTGGAGGTCAAAAGAGGGTACTGAATTCCCCTGGAACTGGAGTTACAGATGACTGTTAGCCAGCATGTGGGTGCTGGGAATTGAACCTGAATCCTTTGCAAAAGCAGTCACTGCTCTTAACCGCTGAGCTATCCTTCCAGCCCACTGAGTTATATTTAAACCCTGCCTTTCCAGAGGATATGTTCCCATGTTCCCTAATCCTCATTCAAGGTCAGATATGTGTGTGCCTGTGTGTGCCTGTGTGTGTGTGTGTGTGTGTGTGTATGTGTGCGCGCACATGCAGTGTCATTCTTCAGGAGCTGTTGTGCACTTGGGATTTGTTTAGTTTGTTTTGAGACAGGGTCTCCCTTTGTAGACCAAGCTGGATCAAACTCACAGAGATCAGCCTGCTTCTGCCTCCCCAGTGCTGGAATTAAAGGCATGAGCCACCACTTCCAGCCTACCTTGTTTTTTTTAATTTAATTTTATGTGTATTAGTATTTTGCCTGCATATATGTAAGTGCACCTGTGCATGTAATACCCATGGAGGCCAGAAGAGTGTGTTCAGTCCTAGGAACTGGAATGGTTTGTTGTTGGCCACCATGCAGGTGCTGGGAATGGAACTCAGGTCTTTTACAAGAGCAGCCAATGCTCTTCACCACTGAGCCATCTCTCTAGTCCTCCTACCTTGTTTGGTTTTTTTTTTTTTTTTTTTTTTTTGAGACAAGATCTGTCATTGGCTGGGGATTCAGCAATTTGGCTATACTTCCAGTGACCAGGTCCCAGGGATCTGCCTTTCTCTACCCTCCAAGGCTGGGGTTACAGATGTGGGTATAGTGCCTGGCTGCTGGGGATCTGAACTCCAGTCCTCATGCTTGCAGACTAAATACTTTACCAACTAAGCTATCACCCTAGTTAGTTAGTTAGTTAGTTAGTTAGTTCGTTAGTTAGTTAGTTAGTTAGACAGACACATAAAAGTTAAAAAAAAAAAAAAAAAAAAAAAAGCCCGACATGGTGGGGTGGCACACACCTTTAATCCCAGCACCTGGGAGGCAAAGACAGGTGGATCTCTGTGAGTCTGAGGCCAGCCTGGTCTACACAATGATTCTAGGTGGGACTACAGGGAGACCTTGTTTCAAAAAGACAAAAAAAAAAAAAAAAAAAAAAACCCCAAACCAAAACAACACCCTAAAAGAGATGCAGGCAGTCCTGAAGCTACCCCACCAGCCCACTTCTCCCCTGCAGTAGATTCGATAAACTACCCTTCCAAACCAAACAGCTAAAAGAAGTTGCAAGTCAGTGTAGCCAGGAGGGGCAAACTGTCACATAGTAACAGAATAAAACACTATACCTCAGTTAGAAAGAAGGGACCACAGATTCATACAGCATGGATAAATCTCACAGTGTTGAGTGGAAGAAGCCAGACAGGAAAAAATGAGACATTTCACAGAGAGACTGCTCTTCGTCTAGAGATGAGTGAAGCTCTCTGAAGTGCCTCTGCTTGGCACCCTGTCTCTCTTGGTGACTAGCTCTCTCCCTGTCCCCTCCCCTCCCCTCCCTCTTTTTCCTTCTTTTCCAGAACTCATAGAGTTCCAGGAACTCCTTCCTCTGCTTTATCTGTCTCCACCCCTCAAGAGCTGAGATTAAAAAAAACTTGTGCCACCAAAACCAGCCTCATTCTCACTTTTTTTGTTTTATTTTTATTTAAATGCATGAGTATTTTGCCTGCATGTAAGTGCACCATGTGCACCCAGTACCCACTGAGGCCAAGAAGAGGGTGTCAGATCCACTGGAACTGGAATTCAGGATGGTTGTAAACTGCCATGTGGATACTGGCATCCAAACCTGGGTCCTCTGGAAGAGCAGCCAGTGCTCTGAATTGCTGAATCATCTTTTCAGCCCCTCTTAATTTTACTCATTCTCACTTCAAAAAATATATAGTGTAAAAATATAAAATACATTTTCTGCCGGGCATGGTGGCACACGCCTTTAGTCCCAGCACTTTGGAGTTCAAGGCCAGCCTGGTCTACAAAGCAACTTCAGGACCAGCTGGAGCTACAGGGAGACCCTGTCTGAAAAAAGACAACCCCCCCAAATTTCTATGTATAGCTCCCTAAATTATATATATATAT